GTGCAAACAAATTCCCGGATTTCCGCGCCCATGCACCATTACAATGTTAAGCCAGTTTGCTCCGACATCAATCATTGCTTTTAATGATAGCTCCATGGTGAAACGATTGAACAGTTTAAAAGCAGCAAAACCAGAGGATGAAATCAAAGACAAAAGCTACGCCGACAAATATTACAAAGAGCATTTTGGTATAGCTCAATGGTATAGTTAATGTCTGACGTGTTAACTCGACTCGAGTCGAAGTCTGATAAATCACGCGAGTCCCAAAACTGCGAAAATAGACCTACATATTTGCAGTGAGTTACTATACAAAGTTATTTATGTTCGCGTCCCTCGTGGTTTTATAATATTGCAGCATCCGATGAGTGATGACCACTAATGCGAATGCCAGCAGCACAGTTGGGGTTGTCGGTTCGACTCCTGTATAAAACCGTAATAAGATTGAAACGAGCCAGTAAGCTGACCAAGCCAATGCAGCCCATCCGATCACTTCAACAAGAAAACTCGGCAGTCCAAGATTGGCTCTTCTGGCGTACATGATGATCTTAAAACTGACAAACAAGATCACGAGGTGGACGGCTATATCAACTTTTCCCAGTGAAGATTCGATTCTGTCCGACAAATCCCGTACATCTCCTTCAATACTCCTCATACTTCCTTTAATGGCTGGCCCCAGGTCGTTTGTCACATAGCGATACATCTTGTCGTCCGCGTTACCGTTTGAAAAGAGAAGACCCCCGAAAAGGTCACCAATATTTTTCGCGATGATCAGGGCCTCCTTAAGCAGGGAATAGCCTACGCTGACAAATGCGAACGCATTAGCGTCAGTGTGTACAAGCATCGAAGAAAAACATACCACAAAGAAAACTGCTGCCATGATTCTTCCCACGTTCCACATTATCTGAAATGGTAAATTGGTAATCACAAGACACATTATACTTGATATGACAATGTTTAGTGTTCAGTAACTGTTGGCATATGCTAGGTCTGCTACCGGCTCGCGAGCGGGTCTCTGGTGCATTAAGAGTGTAACCGTTGACGTAACCTGACAAGTTCGTGGCGCGCTAGGTTAAATTATATAATCGACATACAGCTCCTTGTCATTTGATTGGTGGAAATCCCATCACATGACATTCGTTATTGCTCCAATTCACACCGGGGCTCAAAAAGTCCCATTCGCCCGCTGGGAAATACTATTGAACAGTTAGGATCATGACGCGGTATTTGTGTGCAAATCATTTATTATATAACCGACATACAGATCCTTGTCATTTGATTGGTGGAACTCACATCACGTGCCATTCGTTATTGCTCCCATTCATGCGCGCCGTGGCTCAAAAAGTATTATACAACACCTGAATAAATCCCCGTCATCTGATTGGTGGATCGTTGATCACACAGTGCAATGGAAGTACTATTGCGCTGTGATTATACCATTGCACTGTCACTGCACATGTTGCCGAAGGTGGCGCTGTGGTGTTAATTGGAAATAAAAGTTCACTTATTGAACTGTTTAAGTTCTAAACTTATGGAAAAGTTTTAAATTGAGATAAATTGAATATGATAGTTCTCAACCTGTTGAACAGTTTGCATAAATTAAATCTGATAACTCTGAACTTGTCAAACTTGTAAACAATTTTTAACTTGAATAAATTGGCTTTTAAAAGTCAACCAATCAGATGACGAGGATTTATTCAGGTGTTATATAAAACAAATAATGAATGTTTCACGTTCGTGCAATAGAAAGAATAATTTCATTCGGTGACAGATGAAATGTTCCATTCCACTCGGCTTCGCCTCGTGGAATGGAACATTTCATCTGTCACCGAATGAAATTATTCTTACCATTGCACTCACAAACATTCATTATTTGTATACTACCCGCCCATGGGAATGGGAAATACTATTCAACAGTTAGGATCATGACGCGGTATTTGTGTGCAAATGCATGCTGGTGTGCACGTTCAGCGTTGCGCGTATTGTTCCAAAGAGCCAGCGCTACAGCGTTGGGTTCAAACATTTTCGTGAAAGGGGTGGTTTGGAAGAGAGAAATACATTTTCCTCCAGTTTTGTATTGAAAAAAAGTCCAAATATATCAAATGAAAAGGATCTATATGTCAGTTATATAAAACAAATATTGAGTGGCTTTAAATTGTGAAATGGGAGGAATATTATCGCTCGGTAAAATCTGGACTTTTCCAGTTCACTCGGCTTCGCCTCGTGAAATGGAAAAGTCCAGATTTAACCTTGCGATAATATTCTTCCCATTCCACGCGGAGCCACTCAATATTTGTATAAAAGCGAGTTTGGAATTATTATGACTGTTCATTTTCGGAGGAAAAAATTAACTGCGGAAAATACTATTGATTTTTAGCAAATGCACAGCATGCATCACTCGTGCAAAAATATGCATGCTTTTGTAGATTCGTCAATAGGACAGTCGTGTTCATATAGAAACAGCGAAGTTATGGTAATTAGGCCTATACGTAAATACATGCACTGTCACCAGCTGCGGGCAGGTGGGGGGGGGGGGGGGGGGGGACAGAACAAACTAGGGGGCACGTACACCACAAGAACAAAAACACAATGGACTGTATATAGTTTTACGTTTATGGGTTTTTGCCGATGGGGGGAGTTGCTCGTCGGGGGGGGGGGGGGGCTTGCGACTGAAAACTATATCTTACCAATTCAAAACGTTAAACACAAGTACGGGTGAGGTGGTTGTGCTTGCTCAGCTCTCTGTAGTACAAATGCACGTAAATGCACGCTATGGAAGTCGAACTATAATTGGAGTTTGGATAATCATGGAGCATTCTTCTTTCCTACATGGGATAATACACCGCCGATATTGATTTGAACTTTCGCTGACATGGCATTTTCAAGGTACCATACCAACAAAAGAAATACAGTAGGGAAGTCCCAGTACGTGCAATCACTGGACGCTTCAGCGATCATCAAAAGCCTCGTGTGAACCATGATGTATGGCGTGCAAATTTAACATGTTATCCCGAAACACAGATACCTCGATTAGAAATAGAGATATCTCGATTCGAAATAGGGATATCTCGATTCGAAAAGGAATATCTCGATGCGAAATTAGAGATATCTCGATTAGAAAGAGTTGTCTCTATTTCGGGATTTATGTTTACTTTGCATGCACAGCATATAAAACTGTTTGCGCCGGTGACAATGTTGGACAAAACATTTTGGAGACTCGGAAATTAAAGCCCTTTCCTTTATTTGACGCCCCTAAATTCTCAGTTAATTTGCAGCTAGTCGAGAAATAAAGCAGAATGTTGTTTTAAGTTAATCTACTTACTTTTTCTCCTTTAATATGGTACAAAAACTCAAAAGAAGAATGAGCTAGCATTTGTTAATGAGGTGAGAAAATATTATGCTTTGACCACGAAACACAAGTAGCCTAAGCACTTTAAAGTTAACACTGTAGCTATGCAAAAAAAGTAATTCATGAGTGCATTCTGAACTAAAACAATAAGGTTAATTTGCTGGACCTCATTTTTCAGGCAAAAAAAATTAACAATAATAACCAAAACGTTTGGCAGAGAATTTCAAAAATCTTGGAGAGCCATAATAAAAGGTTTTTTTTGAGGGAGGGTCACTGCCCCCGCCCCCCCCCCCCCCGGATTCACACCAGTCGAGTCATTCTGTATATACTTTGTTGACAACTGTATTAAAATTGTGTGGCATTTCCTGCATTGAAAACAAAATGTCACCAACCACGGTATGAACACACAGGTGCAGATACCTATAATGTTCCCCGGTTATCTAATCACTTGCTGTTTGTAAATATGCTTAAATACTGAACATGTTTAGAGTAAGGATCAATAGTGTTGAGCAATTGAACATTGATTCTAAACATGTTCACAAAGTGATAGCAAGATTGTGTTTAATTAACAGTTTTTAGAATGTGAAAACACCATTCGGCACATCATACAGCCAAGATCCACTGGATCTGAAAGTATACATTTAGGTGGAGCTAGATAAGCCAATATACAAAAATCATGGATGTCCGCACCCACCTTACATGTTAAGCAGGGTAGGCGACTATTGTTATTAAAAAAAAAATTTAACAAATCGGATTAAAAAAAACACATTTATCAGATTTTTTGATCACTCACATTTTTTTGATTTGTTTCAAAATTTGTCTATTTTCCCCATGCACCCTTACAAACGCAAGAAGGATTTTTTAGGTACATTATAATCCTCGTTATTCACAAAACTTAATTCAGTATTCCAGAAAAATAATTCCCACTTAACATCAATGCCTTTGAAAACATTGTATTAAATGAGTGATTTAAAAAAATCACTTAATTTTATCTGCATGTAGTCAACATCATTAGTACAAGCCTATACCTAAATACTGAAGACACTTTAAAGGTGCATGGCTGTCATGTGTATTTCATAAAAATGCTACTAATTTCAACATGTCAGCACTGATCTTTGTGAAACTTTAATAGAAATAATGTTTGAATGATGGGCTTTTAAACAAGGTCGAGAACATTATATGATGAAAACAGGCCTTGCATCTTTAAAGGTATTACATACATTTAAATCTAAATCTACGGAAAAAGATTAGGAATCAGTGAGAGTATCAAAATGATTTTAATACACCTTTAGATGGTTTTAAAGGCTATAGTTCATTCATGTTATTACTGTAAACAGATCATGGACAAAGTAAGTGTGCTGACTGAACATTGTTCTTTAAAGAAAAACATTTAGACTGCGATTTTGAATTTAATTAAAACAAGGCAAAATTATGTAAGTTGAGGTCGATGTTCATGAAGAAGACCGTATTTGATTGTTTTTAACATCTTACACTGTGTAATTAAGCTGCAGTTGATTTAAATGATTAATATGACCCTCAATTAATTTGTTTTGCCAAAAATAAGAATTTTACAATAAAATGATTTCAATCAGTGTATTTTTTAAAATTAAAATCAGTGATTAAAATCAACGTGATTTAAATCAGCCAACCCTGATGCTAAGCAAGACTTTTGTGCAACTTCTTTCGGGATGGGGGAGATTTGAGGAATTGTTACTGGTTCGTTGTTACTGACGGTTCGTGATGGATGGTATTGGTTGGTCGTGATAACGCCCTCTCGCGGCACCAATGATCAAACCATTGGTGTAACAACGTCTAGCCCCTAGACTAAAGGAAACGCAGCTATCCATGCACTGCTCTTCTGGCGTACATCATCTTAAAACTGACGAAAATGATCAGAAGATAACCGGCTATGTAAAATATTTTTAGTAAAGATTCGACTCTGTCCGACAAATCTCGCACATCTCCTTTAAATTTGTCCATGGAAGATTCCATTCTGTGATATCTGTCCGACAAATCCCGTACATCTTCTTTACATTTTTCCAGCGAAGATTCCATTCTGTGATTTCTTTCCGACAAATCCCGTACATCTCCTTTAATTTTTTGCAGAAAACCTTCCATTCTGTCCTACGAATCCAAGAGATCGTCTTCAAGTTTCATCATACGTCTTCTGAAACTGTTATACATCTCGTCGTCTGCCGTCGAATAGCGCGAATCGATGAAAAAGCTAGCAACAAAGCGCAGAGCATCTTTGAACATGGAAAACCATGTGCCACCAGCAGGTGCGAGCGCATTGGCGTCAGTGTGTACAAGCATCGAAGAAAAACATACCGCAAAGAACACTGCTGCCGTGATTCTTCCCATGTTCCACATTATCTGAAATGGCAAATTGATAATCACAAGACATAATACCTAGTAAATATGACGATGTATAATGCTCATCCGTGGGCGCGCATGTGCTAGGTCTGCGTACCAAGCTCACGAGCGGGTCTCTAGGGAGACTTGACTCAAGTCGGGATTACTTAAAGTACAGTCGGTATCTCAAAAAAAGTCATTCACAAAAAAACACTCAGTTTAATGTGGTGGTCTACCCTACTATAATTCTAGGGCTGGGGTCCGTCCATGATTAAACACGGATGAAAGCTGGACACCAATCAATCACTTCTCGATCACTACGGTTTATTACCAATCGGATGCTTGGTCATATCATGGAGGTAGGAATAGAAACCCCCAAAACAAAACCCTGAAATGAAAAATAGGTAGTGCCTATTTAACATAATAATACACAAGGCTTGATACTCATAATGGTTCTAGACATTAACAAAGTGTAAATTGTCCCGAGGAATAATCAATATACATAAAACCTTACCCCAGGGTCAGTCAAGTCTATAAAAGTTATGGTGTCTCATGCATACATGGAGTGAGGTGACTGTACACTCGTCTGCACTGTGAAAAATACATAGAACCACGTGGTTACACACATGTACATGTACACAGAAAGTTTCATTTTGTCACGTTTCTCCAAACTTTACACATAATAAAGCGATCAAAGGAAGCTGTAAGGTGGATTTATATAATCTTGGCATAATGAATACTCACTTCCTGGAACTTCAATTCCCCACAATTGTACAATTTCGTCCCATTAGGATGCACGGTTTTCATTCACTCCCGAGTTCCTGACATACATGTACATTGTAGGCCTCTTCGCATGCACGTGTCCGGATTTCTCATCGCCCAGTTTACGCGAAAGTATTGCTCATAGTATTGAGGGAAAGTCCCTCCGCACGCAATAGCGCGCGGTGTCATAGAGAAAACACCTCTCACGACAAACACACCACACGCAACGGCGGTGTCCTATAATATCGGGACCCACAACTTCCCTGCTTTTATGCCATGCGACCCGAATGGCACGTACATAAGCATCATAATGACCCAAGGAGATATGCACATCAGTTTACATTAGTTACAATCAATGACCTTTAAAACAAGCAATGGGGGTAATAGATATCTTCAACAATCTGAACGTTTGAGTTTGGGATACTCGGACCAGCCCCTGTGGTCACATTTGTAATCAAAAGTAAACTTAAATGAAAAGCTATAGAAAATCTTTCTTCGTTCTCTCATTTAAAGTGGAAAATACACAATTTTTTTTTAAAGGTACACATCCGTCTTTACTTTACTGTTACAAGCTTTAACTTCAAGCTGTAGTAAATATATCATCTTGTTTTTCTGTATAGAATACAGTGTTTAAAGAAAACTGGTGTCAAAAAGAAGTTACAATGTTGTACTTTCAATAATACAAACTGTGTTGAACAGATTTTAGAAGAATTCAAACTCGCTCTTCAACATTTACACAGTATAAGAAAACAAAATGCTTCTTATAAGATATTGGAAAACGTTTGCATAGCACTATAGCTAGCACACTATCAAAATATTTTGTAAACCAACAACTTTGTTATAGTAACTATTAAACATGAAGAAGTAGCAAGCTACAGGGTGTCAGGTAGAAATTTAAAATCCGGATTTCTCATCGCCCAAACACCTCTCACGACAAACACACCACACGCAACGGCGGTGTCCTATAATATCGGGACTCCCACATTAAATCTTTTAAGTTACACTTAAAGGAGCATTACGGCCTCAAATCCCCGAAAAATCATGTTTTTACTGAAAGTATTTTAACCCTAAAAGGGCCGGTGGGTGGAATCCGCCCCCCCCCCCTTCAACTTTTCCGCGATAGCCTTGAATTTTTTTTTCGCGACCCGAGCTGTTATGTACGGAAGCGTAGAAGGGCCAAAAGAAATTAAGAAAAACATAGCTCCTATCTCGCCGCGGCGAGTTACTATCTCGCCGCGGCGAGTTACTATCTCGCCGCGGCGAGTTACTATCTCGCTCAATGACTTACTATCTCGGCGCGGCGACTTACTATCTTTCATTGGCAAGCGTCAGGCACGACGAATAGCGATACTCCTTGGGTTCTATGGAACGCCAAAGAGGCATTTAATGTGATCAACGAATCGGCGATGCACTTTATCGATAGGCAGTGGGGTTTTGCAATCGATGATTGACTGTCACAATCGGTGAAGCATTTTTGCGAGTGGTGATGGATTTTTGCCATCTTTGATCAACATTGGCAAAACTAACACCCTAATCACCCATACAGGGCTGGATTCTATAATAACTCCTCTAGTACGTCCGATAAATGAAATAATGTATGTAATAATGAAGTTGTCCTTTCTTGTTTGTTAAGAATAAATTAAGAAAGAAAACGAAGTTCAGTGGGCGGCAACAGGTGATTTATCCACTTGCAATGCCAGGTCCATTAGCGTACGGGATGAGGATGACCCAGCCAACAATTCAATATTATAATTGCATCTCTCAGAGGCCAGAAAAGTAATTACTGTAATGTTCCGCCTTGCGATTGTTACGACCGATTTTGAATGAAACAAGCTCAAATTACCGTTACACAGACATTTTGATGTTCGCGTGCTAAAATCTTTTAACATCAATTTCTCCCGTTTTGAAGGCCGTATCTTAGAGACACTTTTGGAGTTTCTTTCCCTATCATGATCCTATTATTCAGTATTTTTCATTACAATAGAAAAATAGGCTTTGAGTTCGTCATTTTTCAATATTTTTAAGCGTCACGAATATTAATAAGGTTCTATCCATATGGAATGCAGTTATAAAGTTTACGACTCCCTCCTTCACGAGTTCTCTACCAATACAATATTAACTTTTTTGGTTGGTTTACATTGGTCTATACAGAGGCCCACGCGAAGTCACGCAGAGTCACGCTAATTAATATGCTAATAACGCGCATGTCATATATACGTCAACGTTGCGGCCAAACCGGCCACTGACCATGTTTTTTTGCTCGGCAAAATCCGAGCTTGACCTCGGTGATAGGGGATGTAACACAAGCGTCTGCAACATATTAAGCTTAAATTCGGAATATTATAAGTGTTCAACTACTCATAAAATTACAACTTGTGAGGATTCCTAAAAAAAAAAAAGATTGGGGAATTACCTTATTTCAACACCGATTTCAAAAGTCTATCAAGCCCCGTCCCATAAAAAGTTCGCACGCCCAGTCGCCCCCCCCCCACTGAAAATTTAGCATCCGTAGAAAAACACCTCAGTATGAGTTACCATGACTACCTGGAAGAATATAGGCCTAAGTCAATTTTTTTCCGGCGATTTTCTGCGAATTTTTTTCGCGAGTGGCTGTTTATTACGGTCCCTTGGAAATTGAATAGTGGTAGTTAGTTATCCCGCGAGCGCGAGTGGAACACGGATTAATGTAGTGCATCTATAGTGGCCCGGCCGAGTGGTATATGTGGGACACTAGACTAGGGAAGGTATTGGGCGGATGTCCGGTGAAAAAACCCTGTCTCACGGCCTTTCAGCTCGGATGAAATTTTGGGGCGCCCCTCCATTGTAACCTCAAGCCCCCCCTCCAAGTCCCCTAGGATGAAAACCCTGGCTACGCCGATGCCTCTTTGGCGTTCCATAGGACCCCATAGTTGTGCCCGACGCTCACCGATACAAAATAGTAATTTGCCGCGGCGAGATAGTAACTCGCCGCGGCGAGATAGTAACTCGCCGCGGCGAGATCGTAACTCGCCGCGGCGAGAAAGTAATTCGCCGTGGCGAGATAGGAGCTATTTTTTTCTTAATTTCTTTTGGCCCGTCTACGCTTCCGTAGTCATGACTTTTTAGCCTCGAGCCTTGCGCATCTTTTGATACCAAAAACATAAAAATCGGACCACGGGTTGTTGCGCATGCAGCGAAAAATATTCCGGCGCTACGCGCCGTGAAAACTGAACTTTCCCATACGTCGTGTACACAGAGCACAATTACAATTCGTACATATTATTATTATTGTTATTAATCATTTCTGGTAATGAAACCAAGGATTCCTCAAAAGCGCCCTAGGCACTGTAGCTCGCAAGCCTGAAGAAACCTGTTGAGAGAAGACAATGAGAAGAAGTTACAGTTTTAGAGGTGGGAGGAAAAGCCCAGAAGAATATTCTGGGGAAAACCCACGGAATCAGGCAGGGCCATCATTCCAAACCCTTTGACATATAGTCATGAAATTTCTTGGTTATGTTTAGGATGGGTTGCTTTATGCATATACCGAGTTTCAATTTTTTTTCGTCAATTGATGGCCGAGATCTTGTCAAAATAACCCGGCCCTTGTAGGGTTAAAGGTCTAGTTGAAAGGAAACTAACCTATTATGTCCTACCGTTCCCGAAAAAAGACGAAAAAAAAACCCACAAAAAACCCCCGGTTGTTTACATCGGACACGACGGGGTACGCATACGTTTTTCCTGTCGTTTTCATTACAGCTCCACGATTCAATGCACAGTACACGTTGTGTGTGTCACATAAAATTAATTACAACACTAAAACACACGTTGTTTCTTACAGAAGGCGACCATGCACTGTGCGGCTGAAATTACGACTAGCAATGAACATCTCGATTTTTGGGGGACAAAAGTACCCCCGAAATAAACATTTTCGATATTCGCAATGCATCTTGGGATTGGATGACAAACAAACCAGGTAATTTGTGCACAAACCTATGGGTCCAAGAGCCAGTTGCAACTTTAATTCCTCCTCATTTTATATCAGAAATTTAGTGAATAGCTTTCTCACACAGTCTTGTTACTCATGAATATTAATATCATGATATTGACCAATCACAAACATAATTATGTCGAGATTATAGGTCTACGCCTCAAAGCACTGACCAATCACAACTGTTTCACTGTGCCTGATGACTGGCATCCTGACATAAATATAAAGATTATTTCTTATTTCTATTTCTAAACCTTCAAATTAGGCCTACGTTTTATTTGCAAATTATATTTCTGAAACTCTGGTGATCACCTAATCTTGGAAAAATAATGAAGAATAATACTTTTAAAACTTGACGCTTCGTGGATCATAAAGCTTGGTGTGAACCGTTCCTGAAATACAGATCATAGGCGTATACGCCAGTTGGGGGGGGGGGGGGGGGGGGGGGGGGGGGGGCTTAGTCACCCCTTATATTTTGCAAAGACTGTCCTTTTCCATTCAAATGCCTTTTTTGCTCAACGCTTACAACCCCCCCCCCATATGTACAGAGTACCCTTCTTTTGTTAGCAAGTGTTTTTTGCTGAACACGCATTTGTGCATGAAATTTGTGCATTTTTAAATTCGCCATGAAAAGCGCCGTTTATTGTCCATTGGTGTGCATAACCGTCGGTTTTGAACAGCGCCCCCACTGTCCGATGGTACCAGCCCCCCCCCCCTTGATTTTACGGAGGCAAAGAGTACGAAGAAAGAATTGTTTACATTTTCAGCATGGGTGCGCAAGTGCCCATTTGTGTCCCCCCAATGAAAATTACCTTGCTATGCCCCTGCAGATATCTCTATCAGAAATAGCAATACATGTATCTTGATTTGAGATAGAGAATATCTCGATTCCAAATACAGATATCTCGATTCGGAATAGAGATATCTTTATTCGAAGTAGAGATATCTCGATTAGAAAATGAGATCATGTATCTTGATTAGAACATAGAGCTTGGAAAGTAGAGGGGATCTTGATTTCGGGGTTGCACTTTGCACGCCATAAAACTGTAAGCGCCGGTGACAATTTTACTAAGCATTTTAAAAGACTGGCTCGGCAATTAAAGACCCAGCTTTCCTTTATTTCGCGTCCCTAAATTTTCAATGTACTCGTGGCTAGTTGAGAAATAAACTAGAAAGTTAATTGCTTTAAATTGTTCGAGTCAATTTTTGAAAATGGTACCAAAACTGGAACGAAGAATGACCCAGCATTTGGTAATGTGAGAAAAATGTTTTGACCACAAAACACAAGTAGGCGCTTAAAAGTTAACACTATAGATGTAGCTAAGACACAAAAGTACTTTATAAGTGGATTCTGAACTAAAACAATAAGATTAATTTGGTGGACCTCATTTCACAGAAAAAGGATATACCAAAAAGGTTTGCGAAAGTAACTATCGCTTCTTGGAAAGAGTCATAATAAAGATAATGAGTGTTTTGTTTGGAGGGAGGGTCACCACCCTAGTTTGAGGACCAGACATTTTACGTGTGCAGAAAGCCACGGTCGGACGTCTGATATACATGCATCCTAAATTGTATGCGACCCCGCGCGCCAGCCAATCTGAGTCGACTTTCGAAACTCTGACGTCATTTCGATCAGAAATATGGACCAAACTGTTGATTGGTCGATGTGGATGTCATGTTTTGTAATACAACAACGGGTAACCGAAGACCCGATGTATCAGGGGCCCGCTGAATGGTCAGAATATCGAGGTCAAGATTATGTCAAGAGGTCATAATTAATAGCAGAGTCATAAACCCTTGCTGTGCAAGGGGGTATTCCATAATACTTACCCTCCACACACTAGCGACAGCTGCATTATTGTAAGGAGGTATTTTCCTTAGTAGGCATTGTCTAAAAAAAAGTGTCATCAAATCATCGTATAACTTTACCTGTAAAAACACAAGTGACATTTTTTTTTCAACAAAAACAAAGTGCATTCATAGGCCTATACACAAACTTACTGTAATGTTAACAAAATTGAAACACACGCTGTTGCTAATAGATTTTTTGTTCTGGCATATTTATTTCTTCAGCAACTCTTTTAACTTGGGTTTAGTATATATCAATGTGTGTCAAAGGATACATTTAATTTTGAAGTTGATCCATTTGATAGTGCACGTTTTCCTGAATTCACAAACAAACTATATCATTAACCGAATACAACCACATACAGTGGAAAGCAACAAATGATCAGTTTAATTGTCTTATATTCAACAAAATGACGATGCATTTAATACTACGTTTAAAAAAAAAATGCAATTACAAAAACTGTGCAACAAAAACAAAGTTAACTGAAGGACATTGGCCAAAACTCAACTAAAATTTTGCAAAACTTGCACTGTATAGATCGGGGCGGAGTGACATCATCCCATGAAAACATTAATCACACCAGTTTTCACTGGTTGCTACGTGTTACCGTTCAGCACTCCAGACTCAAGAACCATTTACTTTCAAGAACATAGGTCTGGGAGCTAGATAAGCCAATGTGAAAAAAAATTCCCCGGATGTCCACGCCCACCTATTACATACACTGTGACATCAATTATTGCCTTAAATGCTGTACGTGAAACGAATATCACTTTCATAAGCAGTAAACCCAGAGGATGAAATCAAACACAAAAGCTACTCGGACAAAATTGACCAAGCACAAACATTTTTTTTGGTAGTTTAATAAAATATCTCACGTCTTCAGTCCACCCTCTGAATAAATGTGCTTAGCAAGGACACACAAGTTAACATACCATAACAAAAACTTCAACACATCTTGAAAAGATTGTGTAACAGATTTTTAAACAGCCGAGAAATAATGATATGCGTTGATTCGATTATGAATAAAAGAAAAGAAAACAAAACGAGCCCAGAACAATATCTTTTGGATTGTTGGTAAGCAGCAAACCATTAATGTTTGGAATGATGAATTGCTTTGGAGGGAATGAGTGCCTTTTAACCCAAGAAAATCTATAAGGACCCTACCCTTAAAAAAAACCCCTCAGATTTTAAGCGAAATATTTGCCTATATACTTAACATTTTTTTCAGCTTAACATTTATATAAATTTCACAATTTGTCTTAAAGGAATAAAATTAATATGTGGTTTGCGTGGATTAAATAAGTACGTTTAAAACTGGCTAGGGGCCTGGACGTGGATAATGACCCGCGCCGAGAAGGCGAGGGTCATTATCCACGTCCAGGCCCCGTACCAAGCTGGTTTTAAACGTACTTGTTTAATCCACGCACTTGTTTAATCCACGCAAACCAAATATTTATTACCATTCATCAATACCTTTCCGTACAAAAATCAAAACAAGTCAAATATTCACAAATTTTCAACGATTTTGTTCAACAGTTTTACTTCATGTTTTGTGAAACACCCCTCTGGCCATGTCTATGGTATGTGCCTCGGGTGCGTACGTAGTGCTAAAAATCTCCTTATAAGGAAATTGGCGTGCGCGCGCGGCGCGTTCTGCGCGGGTGGCGCAGAACACAGCGGTGTCAGTTACCGGCGGTTTAGAACCACCTGTCTCATCCCAGGTATTTATGAATCGTAAGTCATCAACAAAACCCTGGACCCATTTCACGGAGCTGCTATGCAGAAGTGGTTGCTAAGCATATTTTCGCAGGGGGCCAGTCACATGCAATCAACTTCCCCTGTCATTTTGGCTGGTGATCTGTTTTTGCTAAGCACATTTCTTTGTGCTTACTCAATTAACAGCTTAGCAGCTCCATGCAGCGTGGCAACTCGATCCTTGGGATTTCTCAAAAGATCTTGGGAGTTTAGGCCAGAACTTGGGAACATTTCGCTGAGCCTTGGGATTGTTTGCATTTTGAGAAGCACACGAAAGTATGGATTGGGCATGCGCAAAACGTAAATTGATGCACTTTCTGAGCACAATGCACATAAAAATAGGGTCTGCACCGCTATTTGATACAAAAAGCTGATATCTTGGGAAATCTTGGAATGTTTCTGCAGTCATTTTGGGATTTTTCCCATTGGATGAGTGGCCACGCTTGCGCCATGACGCCTCTGCTCATAACTTAAAAATTAGTTTCAGATACACAGCGAAACTGGTCCTTTAGTGAGAATATACACAATTCAGGTTCTGGTGGAATACTGCATAATCTCCTCAGCAGGGATGTAATATGCAGGCGCGAGGTAACTGAGCAGATATTTACATGAAGTGGGCCCCCCTGATGATGTCATCTATGTTAAGAGATTGAAGTTTCGACTTGAAAATTGATACAAAATTCATTAATCCAGTAAATAAAATTCAAGATAATAATACAAATTAGTAGACATCAATTATCAAATAATTACACAAGTCTGCAGCTGCAATATATCGGGTGGTACAGTGCTCAGCACTTTTGAACAATTAGCATCAGCAACCAAAATATCTTCCGAGTTCTTGATTACAATATATTGTCACTTGCACATAGAATTATCAACTTTAATTAACAAAGGTTCTGTAATGACAACAGTTGATTTCAGCACAGCTTTTGTCTTCTCCTTACCGTGGTTGGCTGTTGCAAAGTCACATGGGGTTCATTAATATGAACAAGTATGTCAATTTTGCATACAAGTGCAAAATACTCACACATTATGTCATTGCCTTGGTCACTGCATGGAGTAATATTTGCCAAGTACATGTAAAGTACTGAAATAAATGGCGGTTCACAATGAATTCAGGCATAAGTGACTTTTCTATGTGTCATTCTCGATTCCACCTCTGAGCTGACCGGAGAAAAGGCATTTTTGTTTGCCCATGAAACTTAACCCACCACCACCCAATCAGCCACCTTTGCCTTTTCAACCTTTTCTTTGCTCTGTTCAGAAGCTCCGCTTTCTTGTACTTTTAACAAGTGGCTGCCGCCAGATAATAAGTGGCGGCCGCTACATAAGTATGTGGTGGCCGCCACCTAATAAGTGGCAGCCGCTGTACAAAAAATATTTTCACACGTACAAAAAATATTTTCAGACTTATTGAGTGGCAGTATCCGTTTTCCGTAATGATCTATTTGTCAGTAATATAAAACAAATATTGAGTGGCTTTAAATTGTGAAATGGGAGGAATATTATCGCTCGGTAAAATCTGGACTTTTCCAGTTCACTCGGCTTCGCATCGTGAAATGGAAAGTCCAGATTTTACCTTGCGATAATATTCCTCCCATTCCACGCTGAGCCACTCAATATTTGCATAATATTGATTTTTAGCAAATGCAGAGCATGCATCACTCGTGCAAAAATATGCATGCATTTGTAGATTCTTCAATACGACAGTCGTGTTCGTATAGAGACAGCGAAGTTATGATAATTAGGCCTATACGTAAATACATGCACTGTCACCAGCTCCCGGGCTTGGGGGGGGTGGGGGGGGGGGGTGGGGGGTGGGGGGGGGTGGCGCACAGAACAAACTAGGGGGCCATGTACACCACAAGAAAAAAACACAATGGACTAATAATAATAATAATAATATATAACTCTTGTATAGCGCCAAATCCGTCAAAATTGACGCTCAAGGCGCTTCACAGAAATAAAAATGAACAGGTTAAAATTTAAGAATAAACTAAAACTTATACAAGACAAAACCTTTAAAATAACTATAAAATAATATGGTTGATAAAAGACAGCCAAACTGTCAAGATAGGCAATAAGAATAAGAAAAACGGGCAATTAAAAATTGACGCACAAGGCGCTTTACATAAATACGGATATACCAGTTAAATTTAAAATACAAGAGGTGTACAAATTAAAATTGTCTAAAACAGGCAGAAATAAACGGACAGACACAGAACATCAATCAAGTAAACAGAGAGATGACTGTATATAGTTTAACGTTTATGGGTTTTTGCCGATGGGGAGTTGCTCGTCGGGGGGGGGGGGGGGGGGCTTGCGACTGAAAACTATATCTTACCAGTTCAAAACGTTAAACACAAGAACGGTGAGGTGGTTGTGCTTGCTCAGCTTTCTGCAGTACAAATGCACGTAAATGCACGCTAAGGAAGTCGAACTATAATTGGAGTTTGGATAATCATGGAGCATTTCTTCTTTCCTACATGGGATAATGCACCGCCGATAAATATTGATCTGAACTTTCGCTGACGTGGCATTTTCAAGGTACCGTACCAACAAAAGAAAACAAGTGGGGAAATCCCAGTACGTGCAATCACTGGACGCTTCAGCGATCATCAAAAGCCTCGTGTGAACCATTATGTATGGCGTGCAAATTTAACATGTTATCCCGAAACACAGATACCTCGATTAGAAATAGAGATATCTCGCTTCGAAATAGGGATATCTCGATTCGGATAGGGGTATCTCGATTCGAAATTAGAGATATCTCGATTAGAAAGAGTTGTCTCTATTTCGGGATTTATGTTAACTTTGCACAGCATATAAAACTGTTTGCGCCGGTGACAATGTTGGACAAAACATTTTGGAGACTCGGAAATTAGAGCCCTTTCCTTTATTTGACGTCCCTAAATTCTCAATTAATTTGCAGCTAGTCGAGAAATAAAGCAGAATGTTGTTTTAAGGTAATCTACTTACTTTTTCTCCTTTAATATGGTACAAAAACTCAAAAGAAGAATGAGCTAGCATTTGTTAATGAGGTGAGACAAAATTATGCTTTGACCACGAAACACAAGTAGCCTAAGCACTTTAAAGTTAACACTAGCCAATAGCTATGCAAAAAAGTAATTCATGAGTGCATTCTGAACTAAAACAATAAGGTTAATTTGCTGGACCTCATTTTTTAGGCAAAAAAAATAACAATGATAAACCAAAACGTTTGGCAGAGAATTTCAAAAATCTTGGAGAGCCATAATAAAAGGTTTTTTTGAGGGAGGGTCACTGCCCCCGCCCCCCCCCCCCCCCCCCCCAGATCAACACCAGGCGAGCCATTCTGTATACTTTGTTGACAACTGTATTAAAATAGTGTGGCATTTCCTGCATTGAAAACAAAATGTCACCAACCACGGTATGAACACACAGGTGCAGATACCAATAATGTTCCCCGATTATCTAATCACTTGCTGTTTGTAAATATGCTTAAATACTGAACATGTTTAGAGTAAGGATCAATTGTGTTTAGCAATTGAACATTGATTCTAAACATGTTTACAAAGTGATAGCAAGATTGTGTTTAATTAACAGTTTTTTAGAATGTGAAAACACCATTCGGCACATCATGCAGACAAGATCCCCTGGATCTGAAAGTATACATTTAGGTGGAGCTAGATAAGCCAATATACAAAAATCATGGATGTCCGCACCCACCTTACATGTTAAGCAGGGTAGGCGACTATTGTTATTAAAAAAAAAAATTAACAAATCGGATTAAAAAAAACACATTTATCAGATTTTTTGATCACTCACATTTTTTTGATTTGTTTCAAAATTTGTCTATTTTCCCCATGCACCCTTACAAACGCAAGAAGGATTTTTTAGGTACATTATAATCCTCGTTATTCACAAAACTTAATTCGGTATTCCAGAAAATAATTCCCACTTAACATAAATGCCTTTGAAAACATTGTATTAAATGAGTGATGTACCCTAACGTGGCGCGGCCCCACGTGGCGCACTTGGATTTTTCGCCGGGAAGCGCCTACCTAGAGCAAAATTTTAAACTGAAATTTCACAGAAAGTGAAATTTCATCAAGTTCTAAACGGTCCTGTTCATAAATCGCGAGTTTATTTACCCGTATCAAAGTTAGAAGGAAAAGCTATTTTGGCGTGATTTTCCGATTTTATTTTCAAGTGCAAAGTGAACCCTTTCAAAATGCCCTGAAAAATACGAAAATAATTTTCTGACGAACATTGGCTGGGTATGTAAGTAAAGATATTAATTATTTATCAGAATTTATCAAGTTTACAGGAATTCGTAAGTGTTAATTTGGAATTTTCCAAGATTTATTCAAGTGCGCCACGTTAGGGAACACTCCGCCATTTTCTGCCCAATTTCCGGACACCACCGTTTTTGAATTTCGGATTAAATTTTATGAAACTGAAATTGTTCACAGAGGTAAACTACCTAGCATTGATAAGGTAAAAGTACTAGTATTTCATTGCATGAATTTGAGGTTTGTCAACAAAGAGGTTTGGCAACACTATACGAGGAAAGTCGGGTAAGCTTCGAAGTGCGCCACGGGTCGTTAGGGAACACGACTATACACAAGGCTTGATACTCATAATGGTTCTAGACATTAACAAAGTGTAAATTTTCTTGAGGAATAATCAATATACATAAAACCTTACCCCAGGGTCAGTGAAGTCTATACAAGTTATGATGTCTCATGCATACTACATGGAGTGAGGTAACGACATGGTTTCACACATGTACATGTACACAGAAAGTTTCATTTTGTTTGTCACGTTTCTTCAAACTTTACACAAATAAAGCGATCAAAGGAAGCTGTAAGGTGGATCTATATAATCTTGGCATAATGAATACTCACTTCCTGGAACTTCAATTCCCCAAAATTGTACAATTTCGTCCCATTAGGATGCACGGTTTTCATTCACTCCCGAGTTCCTGACATACATGTACATGTACATTGTACGCCTCTTCGCATACATGTGTCCGGATTTCTCATCGCCCAGTTTACGCGAAAGTATTGCTCATTGAGGGAAAGTCCCTCCGCACGCAACCTCGTCCCCAGTGCTTACTTTATTTCAACCGCGTTTCCCATAGTAAACCCTGGATAGGAAACTTTCTTCCTGTATCCTGATTGGATACCGCAATTGGCTAGTAATTGATTTTTATCGTGTACTTGGTGCTATTATTCACAACGTGCAGTACGTATTTTCGCGATCATTCGTCCACGCCTTCTCGAAAATACTAATTTCCTTTCCAATTTGCTCATATTAATATGAAATATGATACTGCATGTTAATTGTCTCGATAAGATCGTAACAGTTTGATTTCAAAACTCGTGTTTTCGTAACTCACGCCGTGCTCGCGCTGCTACGAATCGACTCTGTTTTTACCTCAGACACCGCATGCAAAAGCAAACGCTAATGTGTAATGCATATCCAGGCACCAGACTGTTCCTCATTTGCATACGTGTGTAAAAATCTTGCACATGCAAATGATCCAATACCAGGGTGAGAGAGCAGGTAGTGGTGGGCGCGTACTGCTCGACACCCTGGGGACGAGGTTTCTCCGCACGCAATAGCGCGCGGTGTCATAGAGAAAACACCTCTCACGACAAACACACCACACGCAACGGCGGTGTCCTATAATATCGGGACCCACAACTTCCCTGCTTTTATGCCATGCGACCCGAATGGCACGTACATAAGCATCATAATGACCCAAGGAGATATGCACATTAGTTTACATTAGTTACAATCAATGACCTTTAAAACAAGCAATGGGGGTAATAGATATCTTCAACAATCTGAACGTTTGAGTTTGGGATACTCGGACCAGCCCCTGTGGTCACATTTGTAATCAAAAGTAAACTTAAATGAAAAGCTATAGACAATCTTTCTTCGTTCTCTCATTTAAAGTGGAAAATACACAATTTTTTTTTAAAGGTACACATCCGTCTTTACTTTACTGTTACAAGCTTTAACTTCAAGCTGTAGTAAATATATCATCTTGTTTTTCTGTATAGAATACAGTGTTTAAAGAAAACTGGTGTCAAAAAGAAGTTACAATGTTGTACTTTCAATAATACAAACTGTGTTGAA